GACTAAGCATATTCCAAGTTGTCTGGTTTAGACGGCACTGCATTATACTCTTACCGCGAAGTGTAATGCTAGGAAACTTCTCCGTTATTGAATGTCTATACTCATACAGAGGTTTTGTATTACAAGTCAATTGCGTATAGTACTATTGTCAGCATACTGTACCGTTACTTGATCTTTAGATATGCACTGTACCCGAAATAATCACCATTAATATACAGGAATACCTACGTTTGATCACCCCGGAAGTAAATCGGGTTCGGATGGCTTAACGGCTACTTAGCGAGTAGATGGACTACAAATATTATATTTTATAGATTTGCGGCGTGAGTTCTCCTCTATATCTATATGAATACACATGCTGTAAGCTGTATGGACTTATAATTAGCTGACTTTATGCATTTATTCTTATTGTAGTCGATTCTTAAATATACTCTTAAGTCTAGGGAATGATTTTGTGATATGGTGGTGGTGATGGTGATTATGATTGTGTAGCGGGTATGAGTTTCTTTTGGATGGTGGTGTAGTGGTGTGGTGATGTGGTAAACCTAAAATTATTAGCGATATCTTGTGGTCTGTGGAGGAATTACCGAGATGTAAGATGTAAGATTTAGTCTCCAAGATGAGGTAATGTAGAGGTGTATGGAGAGGTATCTGGTACTCTAGCACAATTGACAAGCAAGCATGGAGATGCGGGCATGAAATATTTACTGAGAATCTATTTGAAGTATCCTTATATTCTAATCACTATAAACCTGTGAAGATCCACCAATCAGCCATTCACCAAGAAACATACATCAAGCTGCTATCATCAGCTGATGAAACATCCACACAGTAAGCGCTAAGAAGTATCCTTCAAACCCAGCAAATATGAAAATGCGCCAGGTAATCACTAACAAAAATCCACTATTGCCCATCCAGAAATACTAGGTATCCTCCAAAATTAAGTACCACCACCAGAGAACATGTATTACTAATGGTTCACCATAGTCCACTAGCATTGCTGAAAGCTAGTCGATATCGGAAAAATCGATAGATGGCATGATATGCCCATAAAACGACGAGAGAAGAAACACCATGGATCAGTCTCTGAAACGGTATTTTTGAACAACACCAAATTTCATTCGACAAGAGAGGAAACGTTACGCACCAATCTTTAAGACAGTATTTCTGGATAATACCAAAGAGTTCCATGAAAAGAGAGATACCGCAGACCAAAATCTGAAACGGTCTACTGCATTGTCCATCATTTGTGATAGACAATAACTTTACATCACATATAACATCATAATTTGATAATCCCGATAGTTTGATAGGGTGGCCCGACTGGGGATATTGAAGGAGACGGGGCTCAGACGGTCAAGATTCGGAAATCCGGAGGAGGAACGGGTGGAAATGCAGTGCAGTGCATTTTTATAACCCATCGTCGCTACGAGACGAGGAAAAGTAAAACTCGGAATGGTGGAGATGGAGGGAGATGGAGATTGAGATCGAGATGGAGATGTACAGTTTGGAATGTATGTGATTGGTATTCAATGGTCTAGACTAGCAGATTAGATTTTTGTTGTTTAGAGTAGGTTGCTGCGAAAATATATTTCGATGTTATGGATGAAATAAGTATAACAGATGGATCGACTGTTCCAATGGGTTTTAACTTCAAGAATCCCTCATTATCGGACTGTATCCCGAACAATTGGAAACTTTGTAGAAACTGTAGAGATATAATACTGGTGCGCAGAAATGAAATTCTCTTAAACAGGCTCAGATAATTCGAACTTGATATACAGTATATTCAATATCAGATAATATATAACTCACAAGATTGCTCAAACAAGCTTGATAATGGGGATCCTCTAAAAACTACTCTACTAAGTATGTCCAGGAGTTTTCCCATCACATAACCTTGATGATTGTGTGTGAGAAAATGAGAATTGATGATGTGGCGAGGGAATTTGGGGAAGAGAATCGGATATCTCCGGAACTGAACTCAGTATCTCGTTCGAGAGAACCCACCAGAATACCGGTACTAGAAGTTTGTGGTATAAGATTTTTGGGCGGGGGAATGGAGGGAATGGATGATAGAAATTTCCCAAGGTATACCTCCGCGGTTATGTACATGACACTTGTCATGAACTCGGAGATGTGGTTGTGCCAAAAGTTTGTAAGGTTATTAAGTAAAATGTAAGTTTGATCTATCAAGATACTTCTTGTTGATCATCACGATTTACTCACTTATCGCCATGGGTTAAGTTGAGGTTAAATACCATACCATATCAATGCAGTGATTTGTTTGCGTTGCATGGATAAACCATAAAAAAAGGATAGATGTCGTTGTAAAAGGAGTGGATCTATGAAATGTAAGCATATCAAACGCAGTCTATCAATATACCCAGTCCAAGTCTGCACGACCAACTTCCACCCATCTACTTTCATCCAGTGTTTCCCTTCTTGCATTGGGCTATATATATATGGTCTAGTATCATTGTTTCGAATACTATACCTAGCTAATACGGGAATTCCGGAAATATACGATTCTGCTGATTCTTCCAATCATATATATACTCAGGGGACCGAATCGGAATCGGGTTTTGGTTTAAGCTCAATAATTTGAGATAAGAAAGGTGCTCGTACATTTTGAAGCTGACGATTCGTCCAGAATCTATAAAAGTAGGCTTTTCCCCCATCTCTCTTGATCTAAAATTTTCACGTTTTCTCTTTTACCCCACCCCACCATTCACATTGATCCATCCATCCCAACCATGAACACGAAAGAATATATCCAAGATGTTTTCCTGAACTTATGGGGCCCGGTTGGATTTTTGATAATATCCCTTACTTATCTTCCCGGCACCATTCTTTTCCTTCTCACCTCGTTCAACGTCACTGCTCTTAGTTCTGTTGATCGAATTAAGGATGCTTGGTTTGCACGATTTTGGGCCGTTCATGGACCGCTGGTGAGGGAAAATGCTAGTGAGAATGCAGAGCCTATTATTAAGGAGGCGAGGGGTATCGTGTTGGATATTGGTCCTGGGAGTGGTGAGGTATGAATGTTCGATTTCTAGCTGTATCATGAGTTGAAGTGGAGTTTGGGTATTGTATGTGATGTATGTTCAGTGGCTGACATTATATTAAAAAGTGGTTGCATGTCTTTGATAAGTCTAAAGTCACCAAGATTTATGGTGTAGAGCCAAATCGTGATCATTATGATGGGTTGAGGAAGAGAATTAAGGATGCGGGTCTTACGGATATCTATGAGATTGTAGAATGTGGAGTCGAGGGATTGACGAAATGGGGGATTGAGGATGAGAGTGTGGATTCGGTGGTTACGATTCAGTGTTTGTGTAGTGTTGGGGAGCCCGAGGAAATGATTAGGAATTTGTATAAAAAATTGAAGAAGGGAGGTATCTGGGCGGCTTTTGAGCATGTGGTTACGAAGCAGGATGGTTGGATCGCGAAGTATCAGTGTAAGTTCCAACGGACGGGGATGAATTGGATTAAACTGACGCGTATATTTAGCTTTCTTGGATATCGTTTGGCCTCATTGTTTGGGTGGATGCTCGATTACGAGGGATACGGAGAAGTCTTTGAGAGAAGTTGGGAAGTGGAGTAAGATAGATTTGAAGCAGCCGGCGGCCGAGCCTTCTTACAAAGTTGTTCCTCATATTATGGGAGTATTGCAGAAGTGAGAATGTTTCAATGACTTGAAATATTGGCTGCCGTGTTAGAAGAGAAAGCCATGATTGTTGTGAAAGGGAAGGAGGACCTCATGTCACTGTAACGACCATCATAGAAAGCATCAAGAAATTGGTAGTCATGCTCACAGTAAAGGGACAAGTGCTGTGAAGCTTGTATTGAGTGAAGGAAGTTCAAGCCAAGAGAATTGATAGGCCAATGGGTTCTCTGAGATATTTTTGTTGCACATCTGCACCTTTTTGAGACCTCTGTTTCAATGCCAAATAATACTCTTTCAGAATCATCATAACAACATATAAAACTAATACATGGATTTAAAAGAAGCAAGAATATGGCCAGTATCAAGAATATCACAGGAATAATCTGTTGTTGGATAGTTATTTGATTTCAAACACAAATTTGATGATTCAGCGCTCCTTATGAGAGTTTAATATTGATATCCCAAAAGTTTTGTTGCATATCTGAGTTGTTTTCATACCCTTATTTCAATGCTTCATAACACCCTCTCAAGCCATAGAGATAATACAAAATCTTCTGTATAGACTAAAAAGAAGTAAAAATATAAGGAATTGTTGAAATATTAAAGAAATAATTCGTTGTTGAAAAGATGTTTGTTTTTAAACACATAATTGATGATTTTGGGGTTCCTAAGTAGAGATTGATATACTCATGTATACTAATGTCTAAGAAGTTTTGTTGCATATCTAAGGTCTTTTGAGACCCTTCTTTAAATGTCAGATAGCACCTCTTTAAAGATAACGAAATACTTCAAAATCTTATGTATGTATTGAAAAGAAGCAAAAATATAAGAATCTGTTAAAATCTTAAAGAAATAATTTGTTGTTGAATAGATATTTATTTTCAAACACAAAACTGAGGACTTCGAAGCTCTTGATCAAAGTCTGATATTGGTAGCTACAAAACTTCTGTTGCATATCTGAATTAGTATATTGAGACTATCTTTCGAATCCCATTTTTCAACTCATTAAGAATCTGCGAACTTATTAAAATTGCGTGTTCATATTAAAAAGAAGCAGAGAATTACCCTCATCCAAAAATCAAAGAAGAATACCATCAATTCCATTTGTGATATATTTTTGAATGGCCGCAATTTTGAGCTTCTTGAACAAAGATTTGGAGTGTGAAGGAAAATCAAGCCTGAGGCAGAAACAAATTCTCTCACAAAAGGTCAAACTCTCATCGCAAGATTTCTTCATCATTCATAGCTTTCCAGCAAATTAACTACGTTTTCTCATAAATTCACAATCAATATACCAGATGCCTCTGCTTCTGATAATTCATCGAACATTATATCCCTATCATAGACCCTGATGGCCGATCACAATGGCTCTGCTTCTACAGCAGATGCCCCACCTCAAGATCCATATTCAATGCCTATGAGTATTAATGTCGCAGACCTTGGTGAAGAAGATGAGGATGAGGATGAATATGAGTATGAATACTCTACTACCGAGAAAGAGGTATTTGTTCTTTCCGTAATCATAATTACACCCACAATGCTAATGGTCTTACCATAGATATTCTACGTAACTCTCGATCTTACCACCCCAAATGTCCCTGTCAAAAGAAAGTTGGTCAAAACACATCCGCGTCGCAATGCGAAGAAATGGTTAAATCCTGGCTTGGGAAAACATCGAAGACATCTTGGTGACTCGACTACCATATCAATCGACAGTAAGCCTGTCAAAGACAAAGGGAAAGGGAAAGGCAAAGGCAAGAGCGCAAAGAAAACACCCAGTGCTGAGGATGACGAGGATGAAGATGAACTACCGGAATGTGAAGAAGAAGAGCCCTTGGAAGCTGAAGCGGCACCACCAGCACTAAAACCAAAACCGGTCGAAGTTCCTAAGAAATCAACTGGAGAACAATACTCCAATTTTATCGCATATACTCAACGTGGAGGAGAAGCTTTAGAAACTGCCAAGCCCGAAGTCCAAATATTGGGTCTCCATGAAGATCATCCGGTCGTATCTTATGAAGGAAACATCTACCAATGTCAATGGGAAGAAAACATGGGCACGGAATTACTCTTCACGGCACACGATCCCGAGACCACATTACCTATTTTACAGTCCGTATCCAGTGACGTTGATTTACTGGCTGCAAGCTCGGCACGCATAACATCTGTCAAAACCAATGTTGAGGATAAAGATCCTATGGGTGGTCCTGGAGGGAAACGACGGAATTATTTCTGGAGATCGGGGAATATACGTGAACTTAAGATACCAGTTGGTGTAGCCGCATCTGAGCAGCGGAAAAATCAAGCATTCTTCTTGCAGGCATTGATCCAGATCAAAGAATCTCGGCGTGAGAGAGATCACGTTACGGTCATGGCTCAGAGAAGAAATACAAATCGACAATGGAGAGGCGTCATGAAGCAAAAACAAGCGGCCGAGATAGCGCAGATACGAAAAGCTATGGCGACGGGTAAAATGAGTCAGGCGAGTGGACAACAAAAGTTAGATCAAATAACCAAGGATAATGAGGTTCTGGCCGCGGAAGATAAACTAAGGGGTATTGGACTTGATGGGAGAAAGATTAGGCATGGTGGGAGGAAGAAGACTGTTAATGCGGAAGCTCCACATGTTGTGAGGAGACCTCCAGGTGGACTTACTAATTATTTGATGAATAATACTACAGCGGGGGGTGATGATGGGATGGATGCGAGTCTCGATGCTACTGCTGATGTGGATGTGACGCCATTATCGCATTCTAATGGAGAAGATGAGGATATGGAAGGAGGGGATTATGGCGTGGATGGGGAAATGTATGATATGGTGGAATATGATGGAGCAGAGGAGGGGGAAATGATGTATGAAGATGATGCGGGTTTTGAAGAAGATTATGAAATCTAATAAATAGCGTTCCTCTGATCTCAATTCGATAAGCATACATACAGTATGAATCAATTTAAATCACAGTGTGACAGACCATTCCTGAATCCTGATGTCCCCTTACGAGTAGTAAGTGCCATTATCTGGTTGAGATTTGGTCTTTTACGAATTAGTCTGCCCCATTACTGGTAGTCAATACGAGACTAGTCTAGTCAATGGAACCCATCTGCCATATTAGCTAATTCAAGTGATTAGTCAATGCGACGTCCATTTGGTCAACCGGAAAAAGTAATTCAAATGGAACATCCTATTAGTAATCGGGTGACTCCTTATTAAAATGAAGATATACTCCGGCCCCTTGGTGCTGAAAAAACAATTCGCCTCATTATATTCTTCGAATCGTTTTTCTAGAGTACGTACTTCATAACCTATATCGCAACTTGTCCTTCGGAGATTTATCAAATTGATAATTATAAAAAGTAAATAGTATTCTTCAATATACTTTTTTTTTCAAATTTTGTTTCATTGTTTGTTTTAAGAAGTATTGAATCACAATAGAGATTGGCTTTGCAAAAGTTATGATTTGTCTTGAATTGTGGCAGATTGGTACAAATTGTTTCCAGTATAACTCCTTGCTTTAGAGCCTTTCTATATAAGTCGCTCATCCATGACACCATCAAATCGTCAGCTTGCACAGATCTTGATTTCCCCTCCTTAGTACAGTACTCCCTTCCTCTTCCTTTCCTTTCCCGCTCCTAACCTTTGAAAACCGAGGGGTTCCTATCCTGCTCCTAACCACAGAAATATCGCGCTCCTTCCTAACCATAGACGCCAGCGAGCTCCGTTGCATAAGATACACACTGCCTTGCCCTTCAACTGTTGTTCGAGCAACTTCGTATTCGCTGGCATAATGCCTTCATCGCCGTGCCCTCCCACGGACCTCCCTTAAACTCCATATCCTCCCGAACATCAAACTCTCTAATCTCGCTATATTCATCGTCGTACCCTCTCATAGATCTCCCTCAGATTCCATATCCTCCCGAACACCAAAATCTCCAACCTCGCTATACCCATCCCCGTACCCTCCCACAAATCCCCCTTAGATTCCATCTCCCCCTCCCCCTTCCCATCAGCAACCACCAAGAAGTATCAACCAGGAAACCACTTCCAATAATCTTCAAGTCCATTGGAACTTCGTATTCGCTGACACAATCCCATATTCCTGTTTAGAGACTGGCGTTGTCATTAGTTGACATTTGCGGATTCGCTCAAACCACTAATATCCTCCATAAAGCAACCACCCAAATGCATTAAGACAGGATTGTATGAGATATAGCTTTTCCCTTCAACTGCTGTTCAAGGAACTTCGTATTCGCTGGCACAGTCCCATGTTCCTGTTTAGAGATTGGCGTTGTCACCAGTTGACATTTGCGGATTCGCTAAACAAGTTTTTTTTGAATGGTGTTGAAGGAGACTCGATAAGAGGAGGAAGAAACATCACTGAAACAGAAATTTTGAATAACACCAAGAAAGAATTAATAAGAGAAGAGATGCTATAGACCAACCCCTGAAACAGTGTTTTTGGATAGTATTGAAAAAGATTTGATAAGAGAAGAGATGCCATGGACCAATCCCTGAAACAGTTTTTTTGGATAATCGACAAGAGAAAAGATGCCATGGACCGATCCCTGAAATAGTGTTTTTGAATAACACCGAGGAAGATTCGTTGGAAGGTGAAAAGCGATGTCATGGTCCGATCCCCGAAACAGTGTCTTTGGATAGTATCGAAGGAGGCTCGACAAGAGGACCGATCTCTGAAATAGTGTCTTTGGATGGCGTCGAGGGAGACTCGACAGGAGGAGGAAGAAACGTCTCTGAAACAGTGTCTTTGGATAGCGCTGAGGAAGATTCGATGAGAGATGAGAAGAGATGCCGGGCAACAGTCAAACCCACAACCCACAACCCCCAACCCAAACAACAAGACCGGAATACCAGCCTTGAAACAGTATTTTTGGATAGAACCAGCACTTTTGGCTGATGCCATCCTTTCCTTTTTTCCTTTTTTTTTCCTGATCTTTTTTTTTGTGAACATTATCTATCTATACTGTATAAGGTAGGCGGAAACCAAGGTGAGCGAAGCCCGACCGCGCCAGCTCCAAGCCCAGTAGGGCTTCTTTCCGGGACCCACCCGCGAACTTCCTCCGCTTCTCACCCCGCCCACGAGAGGGTCTGGGGTTTAATGGCGGAAGGCCTCTTCTCTTGGGCAACTTGCCGACATCGTGCGTGCATCTTCCTTCCGGTAAACGGAATTCCGCACCCACCTGCACTGCCGTCTGCACCACCAACACGGCCCAAGTTCGCTAGTAGAAGATTGTTATAAATTTCATCTTTAATGGTGGTAAGAAATGTTGCGGAATTTTGAAAAAAATAAAAAATAAAAAGAGAACAGAAAACCGAAAACAAAACGGAAAAAGTCGAGTTTTGGTTCAAACCTTTCGAAACTCTATTTTGTTCAGAGAGCTACTAAGAGCTAGTGTGATAAACATTAACTGATTGAAGAAGTCATGATGAGCCTCTTGATGACTGCCAACATACGAAGCAGTGGTTTGTTTTGATTACCGCCCCCCTCCCCCCCCATGTCATCTGTAGAGGTAGGCACGAGTCGACGGTGTCAATGTGCTGTAAAAAAGCCAAATTTCCTGGCAATGGGTAACCCCCCCTTCAAGTCCTGATTTCTCGAGGAAGTCACTTGAAGTAAGAAAAAATCTGGCATACATGACAACTGGCGCAGCAAGTTCCGGATTCTGGTGCTCCGAAGCTGATGCCATCATTTACCTACTGCTCTTACCCTATCTGGGCTCTGCCTTCCTGTTTCTCTAACTCCAAGTCTATACTATCAAGCAGTTGCCTTCTCCGAGTAATGACCTGCCAGTTCTTTCCAAACTTTTGTGGTGGCATATTCCCATGAGATGATCAGCATTGCCAACTCATCATGTTCAACAGTCGTTGGTCATACACCACTATGAAAATCTAATTACCTAGGTAGGTAGGTAGTCACCAAGCTCTCATTTTGCGGTGCAAGCAAGTGCTGCGAACCGTTGAACCGTCTCAATAATAGATTTTGAGAGGTAATTTCTCTTCCTCAACAAATCCGGGTGTTGCGATTGTACTGTTGTCATGGCAATCATTGACGGCCATAGTGATTCATAGTGAGGGTTAATCGATTGTTAGAAGAAAATTTGAATAGGAAAGAGAGGGTAAGGAACACTTGTTCGGATAGTTCATATACAAACTAATGTACTTGAGTGAATATACTAGCGCCTTTTTGGATTCGGTGTCTAGTCAGTCTGGTCTGGTCTGGTCTGCTCTAGTCCGGTAGTTTAATCTCGAACTATACTCGTAAATGGTAGGTATGTTAGTCAAGTCTGATTGTTCCACTCGAGTATGTATTGTATCCTGGACTTTCAACTTACCTTAATTGTAGCGAATTTGTAGAAGTCCTGCTGTAAGTATTTTCTAATTTTGTTATGGTTTATTTTACCTTGTTTTTTCTTTCTTTCTTTAGTCTTCTTGTTCTTGTTGGATTAAAAATGCAGTGTTATGAATAAGCACCAAGAATTTGGAAATCTTTCAGTCATCACTAGCCAACATGGCACACCACATTGATGCAAAAATTGATGATACAAGGATATATACATACGAATCCTCATCTAGAACTGTAGATTCTATTTTCAACCCCATCCCGCCACCAATACACAAAACAAAAACATCTACTGCCATTCTGGTTTGAAAACCTCCTTACTCCATGGCTCACTCGTCAAATTCGTCAAACCCTTGATATTCTCGCAAGTTTTCCTTCCACTCATTGGTCCCGGACTTGGTACTTTAACACCTCCCTTATTATAAATTCTTGCAGCATCCTTTCCTACTTCGGCCCCGGACTTGACGTTCTTATCGCCACCTGTAATGGCGCCCTTCCCACCTTCAGCACTGGCGATATCTGAGGCGCTGGCTTGGAGTGCCTTGATTAATGTGACAGTTGACTCGGGTGTGAGATCTTCATAAAAGTCATCGTTGATTTGTATCATGGGGGCGTTGACGCATGCACCCAAACATTCGACTTCGACAAAGGTGAATAGTCCATCTTTTGTGGTTTGACCAGGCTTGATACCCAGGTGTCCTTCAATTGCCTTGACAATTGAATCACTTCCACATCCACCTAATTGACATGGAGTCTATTTGCCGCAGAACACATCAGTACTCATCCATATCCATACATCCATACCCAAGCATCTCGAAACAAAATCCCCGCCTAGCATGGAGAAAACATACCGTAGTACAAGCTTGCACATGGAATTTGCCCACGGGATTCCTGTTATACATGGTATAAAAGGTAGCCACTTCATAAACTCTCATAGGAGGCATCTCCAATAATTTGGCCACCTCATTCATCACACTCAAACTTGTGAATCCATGTTGACGTTGTCCAAGATCGAGGATGGGCATGACGGCGGCCTTTTTGTATTGTGGAGGATAACGTTTGAGGATTTCTTCGATAAGCCTCTCATTTTGAGGCGTGAACTTAAAGGGAATAGAGGCATTATTGTCGGGTGTATCGCGATGCTGTAAGATTCATTGATATCAGTTACTTGCTAGATGGCATAACGGTATAATCGGAGGTTGATTGGGGAAGACATACAACATTGAGAGAATCGCTGGATAATCTGCTGCCGGTAACAAATGGTCGACATTGTGATGATGAAGCTATTCTTGCTGGTCTAAATGCGGATCGAAAAACGAAAGGGGTTATTTTGGAAGTCATTGTCGGGATGAGGGGGCGCAATGGCAAATTAGTTAATTGAGGAGATATTTGTCTATGATGTTGATGATTGATTTTAGTTCTCGGATGGTCGCCGTATTGGTATCGTCCATTATTTGATTGGCCGATAAAGCTTGGTGGTAGTTTTGAGTATGAAGTGGGTATATCTCGGTATTAGTGGAGATGTTGTATCAGTGATTTCTTGACTTCTTCAAATTCCCTTTCACCAACCAACCTAACCTCATGTTTTATACTTCCAAGTAACTTTTGTGGAAGATTCTGCCTTTCTCAAGATCTTTCACACTTTCATGATCTTATGCTTAGTTTGCCAAATGTCGGCTTTCACCGAACATACGCATTTCTCCAATATCTTGTATTCCCACGAGTTCGTTGATTTGAGAGATATTCTTCAGTCTCCTAACCCTTCCACTGCCTTACAAAATACATGCTGGAAGTAATCTATGTCGATGAATCGTTTAAAGGCGCGATCTGGTCCTCTAGTGTGGAAAGTTTATTTTGATGGACAACTTACCACTACTTGGTCCGATACAAGTTGGACGCCAATTCTCTTATCTGCCTCCCCCTTCCCCCTTTTCCCCCTTTTCGTCCTGATCAGTGATCATACAATTTCGTCCCTGGCTGAAGACAAAACGTTTCCATCTATCACCTGACATCATCACGTCAAATGATCTTATACATAGCCTCCGCACAGTTCACTTCAAAGCCCACTTTAAATGCTATATCATTACCCTTTTCCTGTGACATGGCGGGGCAAAATAGTACACTGAGCTTTGAATTATAGCTCCCGTTACTGAATCGAACCACCAAATCCATTGATTTGGGAGTCTGATTAGCAATGACTTACATTTTGCTGATGGGAGCCATATTTACATGCAAAATCACCCCTGGCAACTGCAAACGCAAAGCATCTCGCTGGAATCAATCCCGCTCTTGGATTGCCCGGCGTAAGCTTGATACTCGAAAATGGCACGAGGCCCAATGTACACCCTACCATAAATGGACCAAGGCGTGGGACAAGGCGTGGACCAAAAGGCTGAGTCGGTCGAGGATCAAGAGCCGTACCAAACGATAATAAGCCTGTCCTTCACTAATGATTCTCGTCTCAAGAAGACCTCCTCCATCGTACCTGTATTCATATAGCGTCGTCCTTTTACGGACAATGGAGGGTGCACCGGTGGACTTAAATCAAGGTCCTCGGCTCTCTACTCTCCTAAGCTTCCTCTAATCACGCCTGCCGCAAGTGCTGCTCCTGTAGTGTGTCCTATTATATACAGCATCCCTCTCGAGAATCCGGTAAGGCCAGTGGTATCCGTCGCAAAGGTGATGGCTGGATCCATGTGATCGCCAGAAGATGGGACAAGCGCACATATGAATAGTGTCAAGAGAAAGATATTCGTAACGCCGACATATGCCACAACTTGCATGGTATCAAAATTGTGGATTGCGATGCTGACGAAGGCTGATAATAACATGGACAGGTTATTCCAACGAATTGCATGAACTACAGAAAGCTGCTTAAGCGATATCACGAGGAAGATTTCAGGGGAAATTTCTACAAACGGCACTTTTCAAAACCGTCGCATCACTCTATCCATCAGTCAAGAAAACATAGACTCGAATCCTCAGTCCACCACGTTTCGATACTTTCCTTTTATCTATCCGTAAATCTGGTGAAAACAATCCTGCGAATTGCGCACACGATGCAGGAATTAGTTGGGTCTCTTCTGTCGGAGGACTTTCCGCTTCCTTGGGAACTGAAAGACAGATTTTGAAGCTTTCTGTGACACCCATTCTGGGATCGATATATCAATCATGGATAGAAGGGCTGAGGGGTTGAGATTGACATTGCTACTCAAAATTTGAGTGGTAGAGCCGCTGCAGACCGCTGAGTAATCAGAAGCGAGGACGGTGAATGGGGAAGGAGTGGAGAGGAAGTATGATAGTTTTATATTCATAAAATCTACCAGTATAGGTATTTATTATTCATGAAGCTCATGGCATGGAATAGATAAGAGTTTGAAAGTTGCAAATAGACTTCTCTGAAGTAATGTTAAACATTCTCAATGGGATGGGGACGAAATATTTGTCGTCGATATCATATCATTCATATAAAAAACCTCAGCAACTCTCTCAAGCTCGCCTCACCTCACTTCTTCGATCGAGAAACAAAAACATCAAAGCCGCCAACTTTTGAGTTATAACAAAATCTTCGTTTCATCATTCTAGAACGAACATTTGTACAGCCATCAATCATTAATCCATGTATTTCTTAGAACTGTTGCACAAAGAAACTGGAGTATTTGTTGGCCACCAGCCACAAAAGCAGCCACACGACAACCACACTCATTCAAAGTTGGCAAATTGGCCCAAGAACAACCACACTTCATGCAATATTGCCAACTTCCCAAAACCATATCTTTTCGTCTCCATCAAATGAAATTGTCGATAGGTCTGAGAGCAAGTTGTTCAACCTGGCTCACTTCATACATGCTCCCAGTCATCATATGTCTTTTTATTTATTGTTATCCCAAAACCAAGTCTAATCTAGTATCTTGTCTCCTCACCATCCAAGTTCCTATCTTGAACTGACAGTATACTTCTCCAGCATATCCTGAAGATCTTATTTTGCTTACACAACCAACCATGAAATCTTTCAAACGACGAATAGGGCGTGGTCACACACACTGATCATCATGCGTTGTCACTTGTATTCCAGTTTATTCTCCTATAGGACAGTCGGTAGCCAGCGGAGTAAAAAAAACCGTGCCGTTTCATCTCATGTACCTTTCAAAAAACGCCACATCCGTGAAATCAGGATATGCTAGGTGCTACTCTGCATACACCATCTGGACTTCCAGCAGTGTGCGTGCTGATGTTTTCGGTACTTGGTTGATGACTTCATGGCAGTTCCTTGACTTTCCATTCTGCATCTGCAGAACACCATGGTTTGCTTTTCATTGGCATAAGCCATCACGAATGAGAGTGAAAGAAAAATTAAAATATTGGACGAGGAAGTTGGCCCGGACCATTAGCTGCGTGAAATCTCAAATTGGTATTGGGCGAGAACATGGTATGAGCGCAAGTGCGTCATGGGAGGCTGCATGTTATGAGTGCGTCGGCTTGTTTGCTTGCTTTCTTTTCTTTTGATGGTGTGATATGATGCAGAGATATAAAGTTAGGCATTATATGATCTCCTTCCTCTCTTTTTTCTTCCTTTAATCTCATCTACCAACTTCACAATACTACAACTCACAATCAACTATCACCACATATATCAGTACCTTTCAAAGTCAATCCAACTATCGCCATCATGTTGCTAGCCGATGTCGTTTCCATGTGCCTTCGCATCGGCGAACTAGCATTCAGCGCTGTCGTCGCTGGTCTCACCGGCTCCTACCTGCACTCGATCAGAGGACATTCAGTATGGACCAAGAAGCGATTCATCTACACTGAAATCATTGCTGCTCTTGGCATACTCGTCTCCCTCTTGTTGTTATTGCCGTTTACTTGGAATTATATTCATTGGCCTTTGGATTTATTGATGTTCATCTTGTTTATGGTGGCTTTTGGGTTGCTTGCTAATGTTTGTCTTCCTTGCCTTCTTCTCTTCTCCATTTCATCTCCCCTTTCTCTCACCATCCTCTTTTCTCTGCCCACCATTTCCTCTTCCATGTAATATGCATAGCTGATCCATCAATACAGTTCATCGCACCCCTCCACTGCGGCAGCGTCTGGAACTGGCACGGAATCACCGGAAAATCCACCTGCTCAAAATGGAAAGCCGACGTAGCATTTACATTCCTAGCCTCAATCTTCTTCCTCGCTTCTGCTTTACTGGTATGTATTCCCATCAATCACTCTTCGTTTCTATTCTTTCCCCCTTTCCATATTTCTTAATAATATCCCCTTCACCACAACATCACTTGAAGAATAACTATAATCAAAATTCTAACAACAAATCAGGGAATGTGGGTAGTATATCGTCACCGTCGCACTACCACCTCCGATCAACCTACTACTACGCGCAGAAGATGGTATAGATCTCGTGTCTAGACATCTTCTCCCTTCTCACTTCCCGCTTCTCTCGTTTCTCGCCCTTCTCGCCCTTCCCTTCGCTCTATGCTCCCCTCTCCTCGACTCGGCTTGTTCCTCATACAATCACACATCCCACCGTGTCATATTTTGATCTTTTGAGCAATGAGATATTCGATACGCTACGATGCGATACGATACGATACGATACCCACATATTTTTCTTCAACACCACCTACCTGACTACCATATGCACCACACCGCAGCATAGTCTTGCTTTCAATACCAATACCAATTCCCTTCTAACTTTCCTTTCCTTTAAACTCTACACACGTTGTGCTGTGTTATGTCATGGATATTTTTGGCTTCTATTGGGTTCTATCATGTTCATGTTACATTACGAATGGAAACAGGAGTCAGTGTGCCACAAAACTCAGATATCAATACCAATACCAATACCATTTCAAAATGAGGGGTTTTTTTCTTCTTTTTTCTTTCCTTTTCTTCAGACGGATGAATGGATGGGCGGGGGATGGATCGAAGGTACCGGTAGTCTAATAATATAATACAATATAAACCTAATACAATACAATATAAATAATACTCCGTCTGATACTGATATAAAAAGTCAAGAGTGGAGAGGCTTCGTTGATACATATATACAAATTTCATTCAGATCAGTTACAACCTACCTACCGATCAAGAATGTATTGAGCAATACAAGTGATATACAATATATAATGTTATGTATAATGTCCAAACCAAACTGAACTAAATTGAACTGTGTGATCAGATTCTCTAATTGCGCTTATCATGTATCTCGAGGATATTCATACATACACGTTTTCATTCCACTCACTCACTCACTTATGGTTCAACATTTGATATCGTAACCCATCTACCCATCTACTCCAACCCAACCCAACCCATCACAGTTCATCCTTCCCCCCAGCCCCAGCTCCAACAACTGTTTCCGGCCTTCCACTATCCTTTTGTAAATCCACACCATTCTTCTTCCTCCACTTTTCCCACAACGCCCAAAAATCCTTCTCCATACCCTTCTCCATCTGATCCGGTAACACCACCGTATATTCTACCACCAAATCGCCAAATTCCGTCGTATGATACGCGCTATCGCCATCCTCATGCCACTTGGGCATTCCCTCTCCTTTCACATGTTCCACGTGTCCCGGCTGAATCGCTTGTCCCCGTTCGCGCGATATCTGCACAATGTGTCCATCCAAATGCGTCAAATTTCGCGTCCAGGATCCCATCCACGCTTCTCTTAGTGAAAGCATTTCTCGCCAATGCAAATCATTGCCTTTGCGACGGAAGAATGTCCCGTCGACTTTTAGCTCGTTGTCTTCTTCTAGATTCGCTTCCTTTTCCACTAATGTGACGTGCAAGTCACCGGCCACCCAGTCGGGCGATTCGTCGGCTTCGTTCTCGTAGTTGATGGTTTGGCCTTTGGGGGCGCCGCGCTCGATTATTAGTTGGTATGTTTGCAGTTTGCGGATGACGCGTGAGCCGGAACAGAGAGGACATTTGTGTTTGATAGTTTTGCCTTTGCCGTCGCAGTGTTCGCATTTTACTTGGACTTGTTGGAAGATTCCGGGGGCCAGTTGATGTTTCTTTACTTGCACTCCGTGCCCGTGACATGCGTTACAGGTATCGACTTGGCCGTCTGCGGATCCGGATCCTTCACACTCTTCGCAAATCATCTGTTTCTCGAGTTGAAATTCGGTGGTGTGTCCATTGTAGAAATCGCGAAGGGGTATGCCGACTCGTACTTCCATATCTGGTCCTCGTCTTTGGCCCGGTTGATGTCCGAAATGTCCTCCTCCGCCAAAGAATCGCGAGAATAAATCGAATGGATCATGGTGTCCGCCACCTCCTCCTCCTTGCTGTCTCTGCTTCAATCCCTCATGACCATATTGATCATAGATTTTGCGGGTTTCGGGTGTAGACAAAGCTTCGTAGGCTTCGGCGATTTCGACGAACTTTTGCTTGGATGATTCATCACCTCTGTAGGATACGGATTAGCTAGAGCCATAGCTAGGGGATACGGGCAAGACATACGGATTCTTATCTGGGTGATACTTCTTGCTCAAAGTCCGATATGCGCGCTTGATATCTCGTTCTGAAGCTTGCTTGTCTATACCCAGAAGCTGCGAGGAAATTAGTATTGATCATTGAACCCTCATGTTTGAACAGCTACAAAATTTCCGGAAGCTGCATAGAGAGAACAACATACCTTATAGAAATCTTCAGCACAAACAGCCAACTGCAACATGCACAAAAACAATATAGCAAAGGGTAGCCACATCTTTGCGCCGGAAATGCGCTCACAAGGAGCTAGATATTTTCTCTGCACGAATTGAAATGTATAATCTAGAAGAAACCATGTATATGTCACAGTAATGAATTTAGAGAATATAAGTTGCAAAACAAATAAATGTGTTGACAAAGTATAGAAAAACTATTGTTCAAATTTACATATTGAGAAGATACCAAGCTGGCCTCATTGATAAAATCGATAAGAGATGACAGGGATTCAATTATATACGTTGACCTTTGCGCTTGGTATTTGTCAGTATCTCAGGTTTGCTGACTAATCCAATTTCTGATTTCTCCAATCCATCAAAAAACATACCTACTCGAGTAGAATCCCTTCCAAACAGCAAATCCAAACCAAAGAATCACAGTCCTCCAAACATCAAAAGCTTTCAAATCAAGACGGCACTTCGGAGTATTTGAGACTTTCGCTTCCGAAGAAACCTAACACGAAACAGATAACTTTACTGAGGAACCACATGCAGAGAAATCAAGCGTAGTAGCGATATGCTATTGACGGTATTTCAGATTGTAAGGAAAGTAGAATGCGAAATCTGTGAAGAGTAGAGATGTTCTGTGGCTAGGAGTGAGAGTAGGAGTGGGATTGGGAGCTGAAAGATTGTGAATGGATGATCATATACTCGAGTAGATGGATATGGATATGCTAGTGCTATCCCTGAAGAGTTTATCACGGAGAACGGGGAATTTGCTAGAGAGAAGAGAGAAGCAAGATGACATTGTCTCTAAAAAACGTGTGTAAAGGGATCAATATGAACTGGAGGAACTTATTCCTGAGGACGAGAAATAGGAAAGGAGGCAACAGAGGCGAATTATCGTCTGAATCTAATGGAAAAACCTTTGATTACATAGCCCGGCTGTGCAATTGCTTCTTATTATAAAACAGCAAGTTGCGTGATCTCATACTGAACATTCAAAGTATGTCCTCGCCGACTGAGAGATGGTTTATTGTCCGGTTTCCGGCAAGTATATAATACTTATCCCTGAAACACCAAAGCGATCTTCAATCAAACTACAAGTACTGTATTAGATTCTCGACTCCTTGGATTTTGATGGCTGTCCTTGGATACATATACAAATTCTCTTCCAACAATCAATCTCAAATCTCAAATATCTCGCTTCAAATAGTACCCTTACATCTCTCAAACTCCATTCCCCCCTTTTTGTTTTCCATTTTCATACTCTACCACAACATCCTACTCATACTATATCCTATCCAATAACACACCACCACTACCAACCAACTATCAAACAGCACCAGCACCACCATAATCATCCCACCACCAACCAACCAACCAAATATATATACGAGTACATACATATCCTGTACACCTCCAGACCCCCAGATCTGGTTTTAATCCCTGCGACATTCATCGTGACGTCAGACTGTCAATCAGATCGCATCATCTCCCTATATTATTATATTCAAAGTTATATATATATGAAATATAATTTCTAAACCTATTTCATATTTATACCCTCACTCGAATTTCACATGTAAATACAAATCAATCATACTAGATACACACACACACACGAGAGAATTCCACACTAAAAAAATCAAGTACGAACCAAAATGCCCATAAACGATAAATCCGGTGTTTCAGGCGGTGTAACTTGGGTTACGAGTACAGTTGGGTATGAATGCACTTTTCTCTGCTGTTCTTCCTTCAGATTACAATCCTTCTATCTCTCACTCCTCTCTTCTCCCATTTCCCGCTCTTTATCTCTCATTTCCTCATTTCCCATTTCCTACCCCTTATCTGCTAATCCCACTACCATTTCCCATCCTCCATCCCCCTCTCCCTCTCCCACACCTCGTTTCCCGTAAAACCATAACTCCACTAAACTAACACAAACAAACACAGCAACGGTATATCAGGCCTCACAAACACCGTCGGAGGCGTCGTTGGTGCGGTTGGAAGGGGAGTAGGAGAAACTATTCATGGTGTTACTGGGGATGCTGGTTAGTATACCTTTATTTATAATTTATTTATTTCCCCTTTTTTTCCTTCCCTTTAATTCCGATTTTCCGAGCCCCAATTCCCCAATATTCTCCCTCCGATGCGAGTCGTTGCAATGCGTCTACCTACCCCCTAACTTTCCTTCCTCATCCCATCCCATCCAAACATCCCGTCAAACATCCCGTTAAACAAATCAAAAGAATTGTGCATGGTAGTGGTAATAGTGATGCACAGTATTACCATTCAACAGTACTATACTATAGGGCATCTCCAGAAATACAAGAAAAAAAATACAGGCAGAGCTGACAAATACAAATACTAACACAAATACAAATACAAATAGGTAAACCCGTAAGCAACGGAATCAAAGATGTAAGCGAGGGGATAGAAGGAGGAGCGGCGAGAGTAGCAAGGGGAATTAAGGATGCTGGGGAGGGACAACATGGACCTTTGAGATGATGATGATGAGGGGACTTTTGGTGGGTTTGTGGTTGTGGGTGGATGGATGGATGGATGGTATGAGTGGTTGGAGAGCGAGGGGGTTGGGGCTGGGGGGGGTAGTTGGGTATCATGTTAATCTTTGGATTAGTTGTGGATAATGAATGAATGAAAATGCATGGATAGTCTTCAGATGTGTACAGGAAATATATCGTCAATAAGAATAGGTATTATTTTGGGTTTGACATACTCGAGTAATATGTATACCGGTATGTATATGTGTATATGTGCCTTTACCTAGAACTTTAGAACTTTAGATCCACAACCACATCTAACCCACCCATCCCTCTAATCATTGTTACATAACTTGTCTCCCTCACAATCCTCGTAGACACACGCCGTATCTCAATATACTCTAATATAGAACAACCCATCCTAGTGCATACGAAATACAAGAAATACAACACACCAACATTACATTACACCACTCGAAGAAATATCTCACTAGCAAGCACATATGTAACCGCAAAAATAGACGACCGGAAAATCAAAAGATGAAGGCAAAACAAAAGATAATAATAGCTCACTGAGTACTAGTACTCGAGTACTCAGTATACTCGTAACATAACATAACATAATCTAAAGAATAAAGAGTAAGTACTCGAGTTAGAATAATAAGTTAATTTATCATGTAAGAATTTAAAATTTAGTACCGGTAGCGACACTTGAGGATGCACTGCTATAGATATAGAAGTAGTTCTGAAGAATTATAAACATAACAAAAGGATTCGTTGAAACTATGTATGCCACTGGCACGCCTCAAATTCTGAATATGGAAAGGAGGAAAGTTTGTGTTGGGGATATATGATATGATATGATATGATATGATATGATATGCTGGTATAAGTGATGGATTGGACTGACTGGAGAATAATAGGAGAGGAGAGGAGAAGGAAGAGGAGAGATGGGATAGAATACGATACTTAATTTATTGGAATACTCACTCTATACCTATCTACTCGAGTATAGGGCACAAGTAACC